TAATGAAAGTTTATTAAATTTCAAACTGTATCCCTATGCATCCGACTGGTGCTGATATCAGCTACTATACATTGACTTACATCATTAGCCAATGATATCAGTACTTTCTGGTATAATTATCAACCAAGATATACTATGAGAATAAATTCAGAGCCAATGAAAGTGAAAAACTGCAACTATAGCTATAAAAGTAGCTGGATGACAATAGGCAACATTTTCATGGCAAAATTATAATGCAAATGTATTATATAATGTAGGATAAATTAGCAACTCAAATCCTGACGTGCTAGAAACATTCTGACTGCATAATTTAAATAAGCAGCATTAATATATATAAGATTACAAACCATCTTATACGTTTCAGAAATTGTGTTGCACAGTATAATCAGTAAGCCATAATTGAGGCTTCTACGTGCAATATTAGACCAAAATGTGACATGGAAACAAGACATAAGAACAATAATACTAATTTATTGAAGAAAAATTATATAAAGAATTTCAAAAATGTTTTGGCATACTTTACTAAGCTAAAGAGTCTTTAAATTAAAACAGCATCAAAATCTCATATTTATTGTTCATACAGTGTTGCATAGTCTATGCTAATACTAATTAGATTAAATTATCCTATCACAATTATTTCGAATGCAGGTTGATTAACATATTCTAAAGAGTTATTTTAATATCACCACATGCTCAATGTTTTTAAATTAAACCTTTATCAATTTCTAAATTTTCTGCATAAACTTCATAACAAAGGAGCTCTTATACTGTTAAATACATTTTTCAATAAAATTAATCACATTAACCCGACATAATTTTCAAATTACTGTCATGAGTAATGTAAAATGCATTACTTGGATACCAAATTTTTTATTGTAATCAGAGATCCTAAATTATGGATTAACAAAATAAAAAATTGAATGACAAAATGAAAAAATTGTCTCCTCGTTTTGTTTTTAAACAAAAACTTAAACAAAAGCTTAATAATGATAATGAATTGATTTTTTTATAAGGTTTCTATGCCTCTAAAATTTTCTTCAAATTATCTTATTAACTTATTTTTAGTTTTCAAGGTGTGAGCGAATTAATCTAGTTCGATATAAATATTTATATTATTTTCTTTATTTACCTCAGCGAATAATCTTAATAAAGGTATATTTATAAAATTTTTGAAAGAAAGAAAAAGCCAAACTAAAATAAACTAACAGCAAAAGTGACATAAACGCGTGACTCGCAAAAAAGAAATAAAGTGTTTTCATAACTATTGCTAATATTTGAGTATAGAAACAGCTAGTTTAAATGTCAAAAAGTGTGTTCCAATTATGGAATCTATTCACCTTGACATAAAAAAAAAATTGGAGCTAAAAAACAAAACTCAAAATTATTTTAAATAATAATACAGTAAATAAATTCAAATTTCTCTTTAGTTCAAGAAACGTAGATTTCTTGCAATAAATATTAGAATATTAATCAAGTTTCAATTTGAAAAACTCTTTGTTATATTTAGTACTTTAAAAGTGTTGTTAACTTTGTTTGATTTTTTATATTTATTATTTTATACTCCTGAAAACTTAACAGAGTATTTACAATAACACAGTGAAGAAAAAATGCTATGGTTTCACGTGTTAACATAAATGCAAAAAAGTCTGCAATTTTAGAAGTTAGAGCGCAGGGTACGAGTTCACTTTGTACAGAAAAAAAAATCAACCAAGAAGTTTTTTTCGATGGACTTTTCACACTGAGCGCAATGAACTAAAACAAAACATGGTTAAATATTAACTAATTTTTTTAAAAAAATATCAATTAAGAAAAACTGATCTTTGTTCAATAACTTTTTAGTTTTTGAAATTTCTGAACAATAATTTTATAACTATCATGTTCTACTTGCACCTTTTAGAGTTTTTAAAAAAAACGGTTTATACAATAAATACATGAGGAGGTTCTATAAAAATATTTAGATGACAAAATTTCTCTACTAAAAAATTATTTAAAACTTTAATTTCAATACAGTAAAAAAATCTGTGTTCCGCAGTTCATAACAAAATCAATAACTCAAACTTTTCAAAAAGTCGAGGCCAAAATAACTTCGCAAAAGAGCATAAGAGTTTTTTTAAGAGAACGAAAAGTATTTTTTATCAACTTTTTTTTCAGCAAAAATTAAGGTTTTTTAAAAATAAAAGTTCATTACACAAAAATTATGTTTATTGAATGGCAACATAAAAAAAAAAATTATATTAGAAACAAATAATTGCATATCAAACACCCAATCAAAGATCCAATCAAAAGACTTGAAGTAAAAATAAGTCTTTTGCTAAAGTTAGAGTACAAGTCACAAAAACCAATCGGAGTGTATATACCCGACACGCAGGTTGAATTTTTATTGCCAGTGACATTAAACCCATCTTTACAGATTAGAGAGTATTGCACTGAACTTCCGTTTAGTTTTACTTCGACGTTGCCATTTAGTACGCTAATATTAGTAGGGCATATTTGAACTATGTTTTGGTAGGTTTGTTTTAAATCAAACGTTCTCTTAAGTATAACTAAGTTACTCATTCCAAATTCTATATTACCGGTAACTTGTATATCATAATTACAGGCTTTGCTTCCATTGCATTGTGGGTAATCGATTGGAGTTGAAAAATCAGGAACAAAGCGTTGATCTTGATAATCTAACCATGACAGACCGTTAGGATATGTAAACAAAGATGTTTTATTTGAAGTTGACCAAAGCATTCCAAAATTGAAGTGTATATTATAATTTGATGAGTTTCTTGAAATAAATGATCCGTTTGGTAACTTAAGATCGTTGCTTGAGTTGTCGTCCCAGTCTCCTATTAAACCACTAATTCGATTTTTGAACGTGTCTGATAAAGTTAAAATGGTATGAAGCGCTTTATCAAGAGAAATTATTTCAAGCGTAATACCTGAATTGGTTTGAACTACAACAGTTGCATTGTTTTCGTAACTTAAACTAATTCCATTAAAATTCCAAAATCCAAAATCCAAATTCAATGACTGTCCGTTAACAATGAACACAAATGTCTGCTTGTTATTTAATTCTATTTGAATAATATCGGAATCGTTTCCTTTAATTGCAAATCCAGAAAAAATGCTAGCATTTTTTTTAATGCCTGTATTATCAATATATTGAGAAATTCGTGACTGAATAATATCAGATTCATTTTGAGTTGTCAGGTAAACGAATTCGCCAATTGGGTTAAAACTATAAGAAGTTCCGTCCATTGTTGTAAAATGAGGATCTCCATTTGCGTTTCTGGGTATTACCGGTCTTATGGGTCGAGGATTTATACTAGGTCGTTTTTCATAATATTTATCACACTGGTTAACTCCTATTTTGCAACAAGTAAAAAAAGGCAGTAGATCTTTTTTGAAATGACCTATTGTATTTATTTCTAAATCACCAAAACCAAGAGTTCCACCAGCAGGTTTTCCTAATAATAATTTGTAATCATTTGTGTAGCAGCATTCGACAACTGGATCTCCTTCATTTTTTGTGCTTCTATAACACGCCTTTGCTCCATTATGAAACAATTCGCACATAACCTTATTTTTTACATTTTTTGGATTACAAAATTCATCTATAACGTAATTGTCTATTTTATTTGGAATGTTTGGAGGGATTGCCGGCAAACAAGGTTTTCTTATATTTAAATCTTCAACAATTCTTCTTATTTCTGAAGTTGATGATTGACTATTATACCAATTAGTGCAATGTAATTTAGCTGTTGAATTCGTTGTTTTTATAACCATGGCTACAACAACAGACGTAGGAGTAAAGTAACCTGCTAATAAAATACTTCTAATTATTTGGATTTGATCATTTGTTTGAAAACTTGGTCTTACAGTGGGTTGCAAAACGACTTTTCCATTGTTGGGAAAATTACCATATTGTATAGCAGTTATATTTTCTAAAACAATACTTCCCTGATTATTGATATAATGATCAATCTGATACCCTGAAAACTCAATACTTTGCTGATCATCATTTGCGGGATCCCACTCTAATGAAAAATTTCCGTCTACGTTTGATTCAGATTGAATCTTGATTATGTTTTCAACTACCATTCTGTCATCTCTTTCTACGGATACTATAAAGCTCTTATACTTTATTGAATTGTATTTTAAAAAGATATCAATTTTTCCCAGTCTTTTGAGAAATGGGATTCTACAGTGCAAATTTTGCCATTGTCCAAAGAAGCATTGAACTGAAACGTCATCAATCAAAACTGAAACGTTCAAGTTATTTTCCTTGTAACAAACACCCGATATCCTTATTTCGCAAGCCCCAAAATAAAGTACTTTCCTTGGAAATATTTCTAGCTGACCTTTTGTGTTACACTGTTCAATAATGTTATTACTATCAGTTGAAAATATCCATTTTCCAGGCACTCCGACGTTGCTTTGAAAAAGCGCAAATTCTGATATTCCAGCGGTGTTGGAATTCGGCATGATAAAAAATCTTTTTCCATCGCCTGCATTGAATCCCACTTGAGCAAAACCTGAGCATCCACCTGCTCCGGTAAAATAGCCAAGCTGATTAAAGTTGAAAATTGCAAATGAGTTAACTCCATCGCTAGTTAAAATTGTTTGGTATGTTACATAACTAGAACATGAGGAATTACATCCGCAAGCATATGGCTTTACTCGCTCAAAAGTGACAATTAGCGCCCACTCAGCATTAAATTGACTATAACTGACAAGACGATACTTTATTTCTTCAGAAATTTTTTGGAGAATAGTTTTATTTGTTGTTTCTTTATAGAAAATATTTCCTCCTTTTGAAGGATCACTGTCAGTCCAATATGTTGCCACACTTTGAATTATAGGCGACGGGAACGGTCTTGGTACATACTCTCTATTAGGAGCTCCAAAAGTTATTATGCCGTTTGTACTTAAATACACTTCCTGGTAAAAAGAACCAAAGAATGGATACTCGAATGATATGCTTATCATAGTCGATGCATCATCTAAGCGTGCTAACATTTGATCATCTGTTGCACTCCCGTACGGATAGAAATCAGCTATTTCGATTACGCCACCAACAGTGTTTACTAGCATTATTACTGACCATAATGTAAACATTGTCAAAAAAAGAAGATGATTCTATAAAATATAAAAAGTTGATACAATTATTTATTAAAAAGAAATATATAAAGCTGAAAGCGTTTACTATAATTTTCAATATTGTTTAACATTGATAGTAACTTATGTTTGACGAATTTCAAAGTATTTATAACCCTCGGTTCACCAGAAATAGGGGAGACCAGAGCTATTTATAGCAAGGGGTAATTTGCAAAAGCACCATTTAATGGATGTTTTTGAGGTTACTTTTTATAAACATTTTTACATCATATAAGTATAATGATAACACGTCAGTTCAAAAAAAAACTATGATAATTAAATTATACTAATAAAAACTGAAAAAGTTATTAAATTTTTACTTCCGATAAAAATTTTAACTTACGTTTTTAAAGTGTTTTTTGGTTTTACTAAAAACTAATAGGTATATAAAATAAAAAAATGCAGGTAAAAATTTTTTTTTTTTAAACACAAAAAACGAAAAAATATTATTCAATATAAAAGGAAGCTGTCTTGAATTTGCCATACAATGCTTATTTGGCTAATTCAAGATAGGGTCTTATAAATGTTACGTGAAGTATCTAAGCCATCTATTTGTTGATGAAATAAAATAATTTTTTTCAATATTCCAAGCATTTAATAAGCTTTTGATGTACAATTAGTTATGCGACTTTTCCATTTGAGATTTGATGACATTGCAATTCCACAATCTTTTTCTGTGTCAGAGACTGGTATTGTTTTGTTACCTAGTTTATAAATATTGCAATGGTTATTTTTTCCAAAAGTGCATAATGCAAAATTTTTCACTATTGAATTTTAGTTGCCAAATCTTTGACCATTCGCAGGCTTGGTTAATTTCATTCTGAAGCAATTGACCATTCTCAAAGTTAGCTGTTTTCCTAATTAATATGGTGTCATCTGCAAAGAGCTTAGAGTGTTCTAAAACTTCGCGTGAAAAAATGGACCGTATTAAGGCTATGTTCCAAATATCGTTATACGGGGAAGTTGGCAGCAGATAACAAAGACGAAAGACCGCGTTCCACCATTTCTAGAGAGAGGATTCTATGATCGTCAGATCCATCAAGAAAGATCCTTGTATATCATCAGTCGAGATACAAAAGTAATTAGAGCTGCCTCTATTGGACAGCACAATCAGACGACGTGCTGTTGAAGCCGGATTGTTTTCTCGACGCCCGGCAAAGAAACCGCTTATTTCACTAAAGAACCAGAAGAAAAGACTCCTGTTTGCTACATTTCATATTGACTGGAATGTGGAGAAATAGTGAACTGTCTTGTTCAGTGATAAATCGAAGTTCAACATTATTGGGAGCGATGGCATTTGTCGTATACGTCTACTGGCCGGAAAACGCCTCTATTTACGTTACTGCCATAAAACCGTGAAGCATGGTGGAGGCAATGTAATGGTCTGGGGGTGTTTTTTGCTAACGGTCTAGGTCCAATACATCAATCCGATGGAATAATTGACCGTTTCATGTATAAAAATATCCTGAAAGATGTTATGTAACCTCATGCTGAATGAAATATGCCAGTAAAATGGGTTTTTCAGCAAGACAACGATCTGAAACACACTTCAAAAGTAGTCAAGCAGTGGTTTCAAGACAACTAACTATTGGTGATGGATTGACCGCCTCAATATCCGGATCTCAACCCTATCAAGAACCTGTGGGAGATTGTCAACCTCAGAAATAATCGTGAAGATGTTTTTAATAAGGATCAACTGTTTGAACAAATCCAAACAGCCTGGGCAGCGATTCCACAAAGTTTCATTGATCACCTGATCAAATCTATGACAAAAAAGGATTCGTCACAAAATATTGATCGCAAAATACAGCTTGGTCAACATTTTGTGGAGTTGCACTTGTTTTGTCCAAAAAGAAATCAACTTTTTTTAATACTTTTGATTAATTTAATAATTTTCGTGTACAAATAATGAACTTTGTGAGGAATAAAACTTGAAGAACGTTGTCTCTAAACAGTTATTTCTCTAAATTGAAAAAATGCAGCACTTTTATGTAAAGAAACTAAATTATCGTTATTTGGTTAAACTTGCTATGTCCGATGCTGTAGAAGAAATTCGCTCCATTATTTTTAAATATTAAATTATTTAAAGTAGATTTTAGAAGTTGACAAACGAGTATCTATGGTTTTTGGGAATAACATATATTTTAAAGTAACTAGTATTTGTTTGAGTTCTTTGCAAAATTTATACTCTCAAAGTATCGTGACACAACTTACCCCGTTTACTGTTGCAGTTTACCCCATAGCATGGTAAGTTGCAACATTTTTTTTTCTTAAATTCAACATTGCAAGATAATTTAATTTATGTCAATCAATGATAGAATAATACATCGTGTTGTTAATGTTTTGCAACTATCCTCAGTCTCACCTACAGCTTACAACGAGTGTTATTTATAATTGCTCCATATACGTTTACAATGTTGGCTTAAATATAATGAATGTAAGTATAATGAATATAAATATAATGAATGTAAATATAATGAATGCAAATATAATGAATATAAATATAATGAATGTAAATATAATGAATGTAAATATAATGAATGTAAATATAATGAACGTAAATATAATGAATGTAAATATAATGAATGTAAATATAATGAATGTAAATATAATGAATGATAAAACAGTCTAATAATGATAAACAGTCTAAAATGATGATAAACAGTCTAAAACTAGTTCTAATGTAATTTACATATGCTTTAGTTGCATCACATTGTGACAATTTAAAAACTATTTTTTGAATAAAAGTTTTTATATTTATCATAAAAATATTTGATCAATAATAATGAGTTGTATTTAATTAGAACAAATAAAATATTTAATGTTGCTATTTTCTAATTAAACCCAATTTATAGAAATATTGAAATGCTTTTCTTATAATAAAATAATGTCAGCCTAAACCTAAACCCTCAGTCAATGTAAATTTATTAAACATAGTTTAAATATGTTTAATATACCGACAATTTTGTTTACAAGGGTTTTCCTGTTTAATATATTTTACAAATATTTACTCCCCTCCTGTTTAACAAGATTCCCTCGTTTATTTCCCGGTAGGAAACGAGCTTGCAACTAGCTAGCTTTAAAGCAATTTTTGAGCAAAGCTATGCGGTTAACTGTTAAAAAACGGCAAATTTATAGCAATTCGATGACTGAATAATGCGGCTTTTTAGCTAGCAACATTATCACAATCTTTAGCCAACAACTATATGTAGAGTTGTAGTTTTGTTGTCATTTGCTAAAAAGCAACTCGAGGTCGAATGAGGACGTTAATTGCGTATGGAAAAATGGAACACGTTTATTCTCACTAAGAAAAATGAACTCTGGACGAGCTCCTAGAGCTCTACGACTAGTTCTGCTGGTTGAATAGACTGAAGAGTAAATTTTGAAATGCGTATATATTGTGTCACTTTCACTTTTTTATGAAAATTATACACTCTATGCTATAGTTTGTACCTTCAAGTAATGTATAACATTTTTTGTGCGTATGGTATCACTGAGTCAGTTAAAAAAGTAGTTAAGTAAAGTTCTTTGTAGCACTCTTCCAAAAGGGCATTTGTAAAAACTGTAAATTGCTGCATTAAAGCGCGTGCGCATTTTAACAATTGTTTTCATGAAACGAATTTATGTTAAAAAAGCAGAAACATGCATTTATATGCAATTCTATTTTCTGTGATTTTAAATTCTTTTAACTTTAAGTAATATATATTGGTCAAACAGTATACATGGCTGATATACGATAGAATGAATTTAAAATTTATGTTCATGAATATGTTTTGAATTTATAATCTATAACTGTCAGTAAATAATGCTACAAATTTTTTTAGTTGCATAATTTTTTAGTTTTTATTGCTGTTTTACTCAAAATAACAACTGTATACAGACCAGCATTAAGAAGAATGTAAATTTTTGTAATTCTTCTATAAATTTTTATACTGAATAAATCAGCAATAATGTAAAATATCAACTAAATAAAAAGAAAGTGTTATTATTATTTTTACTATGAATTACATTATATGTTTTGAATGTTATATTTAAATTTTTACTAATAAAACATAGTTATAAATTATTCAACACATAAATTTTTTTATATTGACAATGAATCATTATTTTTGCAGCCAATATGAAAAGAGAGTTTCTTTTTATAATTTATCGCATTTACAGGCCAATCAAAAAAGAATAAAGTATCACAGAGAACAAGCTGCAACAGAGTACAGCTCTAATACAAGCTCAAGTGGTGGCAATGTAGATTTTGAAAGTTTGGTAATGGAAGTACTTATCCATTAAGTAGCTGATTTACCCTCAATACAATACATAAATAACAAATACACTTATAAAATGTACAGGGTTTCTCAACTCATTTCTACATATATCACTGGATTTCGACACTTTTGCATTAAATTTCGGCATTTACATATATCACTACATTTTGACACTTGTTTATTTAATTTTGACACTGTTGCATCACATTGTGACTATTTAAAAACACTATTTTTGAATAAAAATTTTTATATTTATGATGAAAATTTTTGATCAATAATAATCGGTTGTATTTCATTGGAACAATAAAATATTTAATGTAGTTATTTTCTAATTCTACAATATTTAAAGTGGATACCTAAGATCATAAATATTGTTACAAAAATTTTTTGGGTATATGTAAATTATATAGGTAAAGTAATGTAAATATTAATTATTTCAAGTTAACATAATGATTGTTTTTAACTGCTATATTCATTATTTTTATTGAACGGATTATTATTATTTTATTCCCAAAAAAATATTCTATATTTTGATGATAATTTAATTATATACAACAATATGTAATTAATTTGTCATCAAACTATAAATTAATTTCATAAGTTTTGATCATGTAAACAAAAGTCTTTTTATTATCTCTCATACAATATGAGTTCATGGTAAAAGCTTAAATATCATTTTCAATATTTATAAAAATCGATGCCGAAACAAGCAATCAACAATCA